GGTCTTTTTGAGACAGGGTCTCCCTGCAGCCCCAGCTGGCCTATAATTCACTGTGTAGACCAGGTTGACCTTGAACTCAGAGATCCACCTGCCTCTGCCTCCTGAGTGCTGGGACTAAAGGTGAAAACTGTACAAATATTTGTTAATCCAGTCACATTTTTCTTTTGAAAATATTGACTCAGATTAGCATTAAAGCTTTCCCTCTTCCCTAGAGAGTCAAGTTGTTAATTTCAAAGTGCTTTATATACAGAGTGAATAAAGGAAAGTCAGATATCAAAAAATAATACATACCTGTGATCTCAACACTTAGGAGGCTAAGGCAGAAGAATTGGAAACTAGCCTGGCCTGTACAACTTAATCCTGTCTCAACAATACAGGGCTAAGAGCAAAGCTTGGTGGTAGAGTGCCTGCGTAGCATGCAGCCCCCAACATGGCAAAAAGTGCAGTGTTATAAAGTCCTACGAAACCAGGCGTGGTGGCGCATGCCTTTAATACCAGCACTTGGAAGGCAGAGGCAGGCAGATCTCTGTGAGTTCAAGGCCAGCCTGGTCTGTATAGTGAGTTCCAGGACAGCTGGGGCTACAGGGAGACCCTGTCTCAAAAAGACCAAAAAAAAAAATACTATGAAATTTAAAATCAGATAAACCAAAAATAAGCTTGAACATTTTTGGAGTGAATATTAATCTTTGTATTATATATTACTAAAAGATAGTTGTAAATCCTGAAGCCTATTTTCAAGAAGTGTTGCCTTTACTAGTGAGGATGCTAATAATTGATAGATGTTACTAATATTGGCCAATAGAATAGTAGTGTTCTAATATAGTATTAATTTTTGAGTTATGACTATAAATTGCTGTTAGCATGAAAAAAATGGCTTCATTTTTGTGATTTTTAAAATATTTTATGATACAAATGCCCTTTGTGTGTGTCTGTGTGTGTTCCCAGTTGGGTATTGAATGTAGGGCCTTATGCATACTTGGCAAGCACTCTGCTACTGAGCTACATCTTCAGCTCATACCCTTCATTTTAAGACTTAAGGATCTTTAAATTTTTAAAGATCTTTATTTTATATTTTTAAAGCAGTCTTTACTCTGAATATAGTGCTTTATTAAGAAATCTGTTCAAATGTTTCCAAGAAAAGTTCACATTCTTTTATCCTTTTTCTAAAGGAAAATGGACATCTCTCAAGAAAAAGATCATCTTCTGACTCATGGGAACTTTCAAGTAAGTAGCATCAAACTTTACACTTAGGAATTTCTAAATAAGTTTATACTTACTAGCATGGCTTTTAAAAATAAATCTGTTCAAATATGCAGTTTTCTCCTGGAATTAAGTGTCTCAGTTAAAGACTTTGGTAAAATTATGTCCAAAAAGAATACTCTTTAGAACTAGGTACAGTGGCACACACCTGTAATCTAAAGCACTTGAGAGGCTGAGACAGATAGATCTAGAGACCTTCTCTCTGCCTTCTTCAAGAGGTCCTAATAGTGTGTTCTCATTCTGGTATTTATTATTGTACTTCTGAATCCTGGGCTACATGAAGAAACAATCTTTTTTTAGTATTTATTAGTTTTTATTTTTGTGTGTATGTATTGCCTACATGTATGTAAGTTCACCTGTGTCATGCAATGTTTGAGGATGTCGGAAGAAGGCGTCCTCAAATCCCCTGGAACTGGCATTACAGACAGTTGTTAGCTGCCCTGTGGGTGCTGGGAATCAAACCTGGGTCCTCTGCAAGAGCAGCTGGTGCTCTTAACTGCTGAGCCATCTCTCCAGCTCCAAGAAACATAATCTTAATGCCAGGCATGATGGCACTTATCTGTAATCCTAACAGGAGGCTGAGGGAAGAAGATTTCAAGTTTGGGGCTCGTTTGAGCAACAGAGTGGGACGTTATTTCGAAAAATAAGCAGAGGCTGGAGTGATGTCTCAGTGGTTAAGAGCAGGTTCTCTTCTTGCAAAGGACCTGAATCTGGTTCTCATCACCCACATCAGATTGCTCACAGCTGCCTGTTCCAGTTTCAGAGAATTTGACCCCCTCCAGCCCCACAAAGATCTCTTTCTAATACTCAATTTCAAGAATACCTCAGGGCTGGAGAGATGGCTCAGCAGTTAAGACATTAGCTGCTCTTGCAGAGAACGTGGATTTGGTTCCCAGCACCTATGTGACAGCTAACATGTTAACTCCAGTTTCAGGGGATCTGATGCCCACTTTTGACCTCCGTGGGCATTGCACGATACAGGTGCACTTGCATACATGCAGGCAGTACACTCATACACATAAAATATATTTTTAAAAAAATTTCCAAGGACGCCTAAAGATACAAATTTGTACTTTTAAATATCCGTTGATTGAGAAAGTGCGTAATAGGTACTGTCAGTTCAATAATTCTTAAAGTATCTTTTCTTAAAACTAGAAAGTAAATAAAATTCTGATACTGCAAAACTTTATTACTCAAAATGAAAGGCCCCTAGAAATAATAACTTTTAATAATCTGATGTCAGTTCTTTCCTGTTCTAACTTCAAACTTTGAAAAACGAACTTTACAGATTCCTCCTACATTCAGTAAGATACAATAAACACAGTAATAGCTAACATTTACTGAAAGCTTATTGTATTCAATATGTCATTCTGTGTGAGACTAAAAATGCAACTAGACATGTTAATTACTGCACTTAGGATGTTGAGGCAGGAGGATTGCCACAAGTTTGAGGCCAGCCTGATCCACACAGCAAGTTCCAGGCCAGCCAGGAGGGCTGTATAGTGAGACCCTGTCTTTTAGAGGGGGAAATAAGGGGGTAGGCTGGAGAGATCTCTCAGCAGTTAAGAACAGAGACTGTTCTTGCAGAGGACCTGGGTTTGGTTCTTAACACCCATATGGCCGCTCATAGCCATCTGTGAGTTCATTTCCAGGGGATCTGTGGCACCAGGTACATACATGGTACACATACATACGTACATGAAGGCAAAGAACTCATATACAAAAAATTAAAAAATATAAATTTTTTGTTTTGTTTTTGAGACAGGGTCTCCCTGTTGCTCTAGCTGACCTAGAACTCACCATGTAAACTAGAGTGGCCTTGATCTCACAGAGGTCTGCGTGCCTCTGTCTCCCAAGTGCTGAGATTAAAGATGTGCATCACCATGCCTGGCAAAAATAAATCAATCTTTAAAAAAATTATCTGACTTCCATAGGAAATTAGAATAAAACTAAGCTTTGTAATTAACCTTCCTTGTAACTCCATACTTAAAATTATAATCAGCTTAACTTCCTGAACATCATCTTCTTTTAGCCATTTGATTTCTCTTCCTGCATTGTAAGTAATCCCTATCCTTTATTTTATTTTTTTTAAATGTGGTCTCATAGCTAGGCATGGTGGCATATGCCTTTAATCCCAGCACTTTGGAGGCAGAAGCAGGTGGGTCTCTGTGAGACTGAGGCCAGCCTGGTCTTCATAGGGATTTCCAGGCCAGCTATGGCTGGCCTTGAGCTCACTGTGTAGCCAGGGATGACCTTAAACCTCCTGCTTCCACTTCTTAAGTGCTGGAATTACAGGCATGTGTCAATACGTTTGGCTAGCTTTGTTTTTATAATTTGCATTTTCCAGATTATATGTTCATAAAGTTCAAGTGATAGTTGCATAGCCATTGGATATTGTTTTGTTTTTTTTCCCTTTTTCTTTTTCTTCTTTGAAGGAGTCTTGCAGTGTAACCCAGACTGACCTTAAACTCAAGGTCTTCCTCATTGTGAACTCAAGTGCTAGAACTACAGCCATGTGCAGACATACCCGGCTGGTTTGGAAATTTTGTTTTGTTTTGTTTTGTTTTGTTTTCAGATAGGTTCTTGCTGTAGCCCAGGCTTACTTAGAAGTCACTGTGTAATCGAGGCTAGCTTCAAACTTGAAATCATCCTACCTTGGCTTTTAGATGCTGAGACTTCCAAACCGTTGATAGATAGAATGATTGTCTTGCATGCAGGATACCCTGGGTGCAGTTCCCAACACCACATAAACTGTGTGTGGTGACTCATACCGGTAATCCCAACACTTAGAAGGTAGAGGCAGGCAGAAGGATCAGGAGTTCAGGGTCTTCAGTTCCATAGTTCCAGGCCAGGCTGGGCTACATGAGAGCCTGTCTCAAAACACCAACCTTCCTCCCCCACTTCAACAACAACAAAATTTTTGAGGAGGAGTATCTGTCTATGCATAGGAAATTTGATTTTAAGAATGCTGGTTGAGGGGCTGGAGAGATGGCTCGGCAGTTAAGAGCACTGACTGCTCTTGCAGAGGACCCGGGTTCAATTCCCAGCATTCACATGGCAGCTACGAACCGTCCTTAACTCCAGTTCCAGGGGAATCCAAAGCCCTCTTCTGACCTCTTTGGCTTAGCACAACACAGATGCACTCACATACATGCAGGCAACACACTCATACACATAAAATAAAAATAATAAAATATTTAAAAAAAAAGAAAAGAATGCTGGTTGTGTGCATTAGTGGTTTTATCTTCCAGAGCCTTGAGTATACTAAGCAATCATCTACTGCTATAAACTTCCAGCACTCATGAACTTTAAATGAATAATAATGAATAAATCAATGAAATATTGTTAAGTACAATATGAATTTTAAAAAACTGATTAACCCAGACTTGGGACACAGCTGAAGTGGTAGAGCATTTTCTGTGAAAGCATAAGGACAAGTTCAGATACTCAGCATCCACGTAAATGCTGGGCAGTTGTGGTATCCCACCTGTCATCCCAGTGCTCAGGAGATAGAGACAGGATCCCCAGAGCAAGCTAACTGGCTAGGCTAGCCAGATTGTTGAGTGACAGGTTCAGTGAGAGACCTGGCCTCAGTAAAGTGGAGGGCAGTCAAGGAAAACACCCAACATCAATCTCTGGGCTCCACACATGCACTGAACACACATGAAAACACACATATACCCATCCAACACAACACAGACCCAAAAAACCCCAAACTCAAATGTATGTCATTTTTAAAGTACTTCTCATTGCAGCTACCAATGAATACAGGCAGCTATAACAAGGGGCAAAAATGGAGTAGCTTAAGACAACAGAAATTATCTTATATTTCTAGAAGGTTGAAGTCCATAATCAGCATATTGTTATGACCCTGTTCTCTGGAAATTCTAAGAAAGAATTTTTTTGCCTCTTCTAACTTCTGGTATTTGCCTACATCCTAAAACATTCTTGTAACTACTCCACTCTAGTCACATGGCATCTTGTGTTTGCACTGGCATGTCTGTCTTTGTGTCCAAATTTCCTCATTTTGTAAGGATGCCAGTCATTTGCATTGACATAGACTCTAATGACTTAGTTTAATTCAGTTATGTCTATGAAGGCTGTTTCCAATTAAGGTCAGTCATATACTCACAGGAATATATAAGAAAGGATAAGTGGTAATCACTAGGAGGGAGTACTTGGGTGAGTCTATTTATTTATTGGTTTGGTGTGTTTTTTGTTTTTATTTTTATTTTATGTGTATGAGTATATTGCTTACATGTATGTGAGTGCACCTGTGTTGTGCAATGCTGTGGAGGTCAGAAGAGGGCTTCAGATTCCCCTGGAACTGGAGTTAAGGATGGTTCATAGCCGCCATGTGAGTGCTGGGGAATTGAATCCGGGTCCTCTGTAAGAGCAGTTTAGTGCTCTTAACCGCTGAGCCCCCTGAAGTTTTTTTTTTTTTTTGCTTCTCTTTTTGAAGCAGGGTCTCCCTGTAGCCCCAGCTGCCCTGGAACTCACTATGTAGACCAGGCTGGCCTTGAACTCACAGAGGTCCACCTGCCTCTGCCTCCCGAGTGCTGGGATTATAGGTGTGCACCTGACCCCTGAAGTTATTTTTAAGTGAGGAATTATAATGATCTGCCTTTTTATCTTGTTTTTGCTTATAATCTAAAAAAAAATCTGCACTTTTTGTTATAGAAGTATTACATTTCTGAAATTAGGTAGTCTTGGGCCTAAAAAGAATACCTACTTTGACAAGTGCTTTAGAATCTTTTCTTCATTGGTACAATGTGTAGTTGCTTCTGTTATATGGAGTGATACCTTTATTCTAGTTGAATAAGGTAGTAAATGTCTAATGGTTCTGCAGTGAAAATGAGCACGTGTCATTAGCTCTAAATTTCTTGGACACCTCTGTCAGTTGATAGATGAACAACAGTATTGTCTTTCTTCATTCCATATATGGTGAATAATCTCAGCCTAAACTTAGAATTTAAATATTTCATCATAGTGGTCTGTATATTCTCAGTGAATAAATAAGTTCTACCCACACAGAACAGTATACTGTTCACTGATCTGATAAAAATTAATTCTAGGCTCTAAACAGAATAAATTCTCCGACAAAAGAAAAAGGAACTCTGTGGACTCAGATCTGAAAAACACAAGAGAACCTATCATATCAAAAGTGAGAGAGTCCTTCCCTGAGAAGCGTCCTGACATATCACATCAGAGAGAAAAATTTATAAGGCATATTGCACTGAAGACACCTGGGGGTGTGCTGCGCTTGGAAGATATATCCAAGGAGCCAGATGATGAGACTGATCGCTCTTCTGCAAACTTGGCACCTTCAAACTCTGGCCACCATTCTTCCAGGAATAGTGACCAAATCCATGTGGCAAGTACCAAAGAGACTAAGATACAGAAACCCCACTTACCTTTACCTCAGGAAAAATCTACAGTTAAAAGAGCTAGCAACCTTCAGAAAAATAAAACAGCTAGCTCTATGACATCAAAAGAGACAAAACTCCTGCCTTTACTTTCCCATGTTCCGAGTGCTGTTTCTTCTCGAGTACCATTAAATGCTAAAAATTGTACTCTTCCAGTTTCTAAAAAAGATAAAGAGCGTTCCTCATCTAAAGAATGTTCTGGGCATTCTTCAGAGTCCTCCAAACACAAGGAACATAAAACAAAGACTAATAAGGCTGTTTCTAATGTATCTTCAGGGAAAAGTCCTAGGGGATCTTTGCATTCAGAGTATGGCCCTCCTACAAAGTCTCCCCCAGCTGCTCTGGAAGTTGTGCCATGTATCCCAAGCCCTACAGCACCTTCAGATAAAGCCCCGTCAGATAAAGAAAGTTCAGGAAATTCCAGTGCAGATAGCAGTGCACTGAAAAGAAAATTCAGGGGTGATTTTGATAGTGATGAAGAAAGTTTAGGTTACAACCTAGAGAGTGATGAGGAAGAGGAAACATTAAAATCATTGGAAGAAATAATGGCTTTGAACTTCAATCAGATGCCTTCAACTTCTGGAAAGCCTCCTGCCTTTTCCAAGGGGCTTAGTTCACAGTCATCAGATTATACAGTAAGTAGTTCTGGGGTATTTGTCTTTACTTGAAGAGGAAAAGATGGATTAATTAATGAAAGAAGATAATTTTTAACTTATTTTAAAATTCAGTGTTTATTACAACTCATACTTGGACTGAAACTGGTGTTCTTGTTCAGTAAATGAGTTTCCCATATCTTCAGTTTTATTACTGTAAATCAGTGGTCTCCAAACTTTTTGATCACATGTACATTTTTAGTAAAAGGAAACTTGAAGCATGTACCCCAATATATATGTAACCTATAGATTATATACATGTGCCACTATAATACTGTGTACTTTCTAAAGTGTATACAAAACAAAATTTAAAAGGAAGAAGAAAAATAAGTGTTTTCCTGTAGAAGTTATATAGAAGTTACTATAGACTAAGTTCTATTGGAGTTTCTATGGAAGTTCCATATAAATAGAAGTTCTATTATTTTCTTCCTGCACCCCAATGGATCACCTTGCACACCCCCTGCTTTGGAGACCACTGCTGTAAATGAAGGTAGAGTGTAGAAATGTTGTTAATTGTGGTGTGCAATTTTATTTATAAAGTGCTTCATTCTATCTTGGGAATAAGATGGATTAAATTTTAAGATTTCTGTAAAATTTGGTGGGGAAGGTGTTAACATCTAAACAGTAGTAGTAGTTTGATTCCACTAAAATAGAATGCAGAAGCAAAGATAGGGTAGCCACAGAGCCCTGGGTGTTTGCAGTCAGATCTTGAGGCTAGCAGGGTTTTCCAAGTAGCTTTTTCTAACAGATGTCAAAATCAAATTGCCTGCAGTATAGAATACTAGATTTAAAGCATGATGGTGAATAATTCTCCTTTAAGAAGGGCATCATCCAGACCCAGGTTACTGTAGTAGAAAATAGCCAATAATACACTGATAACTTCAAATACCCAGGTCTTCTACTAAGATAAGGTATAAAGGTTTTTTGGTTTTTGGTTTTAATTTTCTTCTTCTTTTAGGAACATGTTCAGAGTGGAACTTACACAAATACTTTAGAGCGTCTTGTGAAGGAGATGGAAGACACACAAAGGTTGGTTAAAATCCTAACTTTAAAAAAAAAAAATTATTTATTATTTTTATGTGTATTTGTGTATTGCCTCCATGTTTGTAAGTACACCTGTGTCATGCAGTGCCCATAGAGGACAGAAGAGGCTGTCAGATCCCCTGAAACTGGAGTAATGGACAGTTGTTAGCTGCCATGTGGGTGCTAGGATTTGAACCCATCAAGAACAGTATTCTTAACCACTGAGCCATCTCTCCAACCCCTTCTTTTTTTTTGTTTAATCTTTTTGATACAGACTCGCTATGTATACTAGGCAGGGCTTGAACTCAGAGATCCGCCTGCCTCTGCCTCCTGAGTTCTGGGACTAAAGGTGTGTGCCACCATGCCTGGCAAAAATCATAATTTTCTAAATTTAACATAATGCCTGCTTATGTGGTTGGCTTTTAATTTACTTTAAATCATAAGTGAGTATATATAAGGCTAGGGATTTAGCTTAGTGGTAAGGTGATTACCGAGCATGTGAAAGGCCCTGGGTTCAGTCCCCAGCTCCCAGTAAAACAAGGGAACTAGAAATTAACATGTATTTTGTGGGAGTACCATTATAACAGTTCTGTTGTCAACTGTTTAGAAGATGTGTTCTCTTATTCATGAGCTGGATCAAAAAAAATATAGGTTTTTATATACTGTGTATTGAATTAATAATTAAATTTACATTTTTTTTGCTTGTCACAACTAGCATCTTTCTTTTTTTTTTTTTTGGAGACAGAGTCTCCCTGTAGCTCCAGCTAGACTGGAACTGGCTATGTAGACCAGACTGGCCTCAAACTCACAGAGCTCTACCTTGCCTCTGTCTCCCAAGTGCTGGGATCAAAGGTGTTTGCCACCACACCCAGCTTAATTGGCATCTTAAACAAAATTTTATGTGACATTAGACCTTTGCATAACTTTGAAGAATTGTCTGTTCAGATCCTTTGGTTTGGTTTGGTTTGGTTTGGTTTGGTTTGGTTTGGTTTGGTTTTTAAGACAGAGTCTCCCTGTGGCCCTACTGGTTTAGAACTCACGATGTAGACCAGGCTGGCCTTGATCTCACAGAGATCTGTGTGCCTCTGCCTCCTAAATACCTTTGCCTATTTTTAATCAGTTTTCTTGTTCACTCAGGTAGAATGTTTTTTTTTATATTTTTATTTTATATGTATTGAGTGTATTGCTTGCATGTACTAAATGCACCCATGTTGTGCAGTGCCTGCAGAGGTCAGAAGAGGATGTTGGATCTCCTGGAACTGGAGTTGTGGACAGTTGTTAGGCTCCATGTGGGTGCTAGAAATCAAACCTGGGCTCTCTGCAAGAGTAGCCAGTGCTCTTAACCATTGAGCCATCTCTCTAACCCCATTTATTTATTTTTATTTTATGTGTATGAGTGTTTTACCTGTGTGTCTATAAGTACACCTGTGTTGTTCAGTGCCCACGGAGGCCAAAAGAGGGTGTTGGAGCCCCTAGAACTAGAGTTAAAGATGGTATTAGCCCTCATGTGGGTGCTGGGGACTGAACCTGGTTGCTCTGCAAGAACAGCCAGTGCTCTTAACTGCTGCACTATCTCTCCAGCTCCTGCCCCCTTAAAACATTTTTATGTTCATCAAGTCCAAGGGCTTTTTTGTTGTTGTTAATGTTTTCTTTGATCGGAGGGAGAGTTGTTTAGGCATGATCTCACTATGTTGCCCAGGATGGCATCAAAATTTAGATCCTCCTGCCTCAGCCTCTCGTGCCACTAAGCCCAGCTTAAATCTAAGTTTTGAAACTAGCATAACAATACATGTATTCCTTTATCATATTACTCTTAAGGAAAAAGTTCAAAATTATGATAGGCAGCCCACTCCACACATCAGAAAACTGAGCATCATACTACTAATGAAATTGATGTGACTAGGTGAGTATAGTAGCACTTGCTCGTATTCCCAGAATTTAGGAGGCTGAGGCAGGAAGACTGACATGACTTCCATGTCAGCCTTAAAAAAATAAGGAGCCTATGAGATGGCTCTGCAAGTAAAGGCAATTACCACCAAGCTTGAAATCCTCAGTTCAGTCACTGGGGCCCCCACACGTCAAAAAGAGGGAACTGACTTCTGCAAGTTGTGCTCTGACCTCTACACACACAGCATGGCATGCACTTGCTTCTCCTCCCCACCTCACACAAATATAATTTTAAACATTTTAAATAAAAATGAAAATTTACAGTAATGGGCTGGGGTGGTGGAACACACCTTTAATCCCAGCACTCAGATGGCCGAGGCAGGCTGATTTCTGTGAGTTTGAGGTCAGCCTAGTCTACATAGTGAGTTCCCAGCTAGCAAGGGCTATAGGAAGATCCTGTCCCCCCAAAAAAGTAAGTCAATAAATGGTCTAGAGAGGTGGCTCAGTGGTTAAAAATACTCACTACTCTTCAAGAGGACCTGAGTTTAGTTCCCAGCACCCATGTCTGGCAGTTCTCAACTACCTATAATTCTAGCTCCAGGGCATCCAACATCTGCTAGCTTTCACAGGCACCCTAATACACACACAGACACACACATAAATATTTTATGTGACTAATTACAGACTTACTGCTAATAAGAACAGATAAATATTCCTTATTACTTAAAGGAATAGCCACGAAACTAGCCCAGAAAACTTAAAGTTTAGCTGACTGAGGCATTGAGATGGCTCACTTGCTACCCAAGCCTAATGACCTGAGTTCAGTTCCCAGAATCCCTATGGATAACCAACTCCTACAGGTTGTCCCCATGCCTCCAAGCAAGCACTGGTACATGGGCCAGTCTCCCATACACAGAAAATAAATAAATCATGTTATAAAAAAAGTTGAGGTTGCATAATGTTTAAGAGAGCTTGCTGCACTTGCAGAGGACTAGAGTTCAGTTCCCAGTACCTGTATTAGGCAGCTCACAACTGCCTGTAACTCCAGTGGGGATCTGGTGCCCTCTTCTGTCCTCAGAGGACACTCATGCACATGCATATATATATATACACACATAATTTTTTTTTTTAATTTCTTTAAAGTCAATTTTTTTTTTTTTTTTGTCTTTTTGAGACAGGTCCTCCTTGTAGCCCCAGCTGTCCTGGAACTCACTATGTAGACCAGGCTGGCCTTGAACTCACAAAGATCCACCTACCTCTGCCTCCCAAGTACTGGGATTAAAGGCGTGCATCACCACACCCAGCCAATTTTTATTTTTTTAATATTTATTTATTTTAAATGTACAAGTGTATTGCCTGCATTTATTTTAAATGTATGAGTGTAAGTGTACCCATGTTGTGCAATGCCCACGGAAGGCAGAAGAGGACATCGGATCCTCTGGAACTGGAGTTACAGATGGTTGTCAGCCACCAAGTGGGTGCTGGGAATCAAACCTGGGTCCTCTGTAAGAGCAGTCAGTGCTCTAACTGCTGAACAAATTCTCCAGCCCCCTAACGTCACTTTTTAAGTAAGTTTTACATAGAAGATGGTATACACACATCTCATATTTGTTAACCATGTAACTGTAGGAATTTTGCATACATTTAAGTAAAAGTTTTTTCCTCTTGGAACTTAGAGAAATTGTCTCTATTGTTAAAAAAAATTTTTTTTTTTTGGTCTTTTTGAGACAGCGTCTCCCCGTAGCCCCAGCTGACCTGGAACTTATTATGTAGACCAGGCTGGCCTTGAACTCACAGAGATCCACCTGCCTCTGCCTCCCTAGTGCTGGGATCAAAGGCGTGTGCCACCACGCCCTGCTTATTGTAAATTTTAAAAAATGTTTTGTGAATTCTTGGGATCCAAGCTGTAAATTATTTAAAATTAAGCATTACTATGTATAGTGATGCACACCACTAATCCCATCACTTATGAGGTGGAGACAGGAGGGTCTCAAGTTTGAGACCATCCTGGGGATACACAGCAAGGCCTATCTCAAAACATGACATACACACACACACACATGCATACACAAATAATGATAATAATATTGAGCATTGCTCTGACTGAAGACAGGTGATAATTTGATATGATGATTGACCTTTTAGTAGTGATAGAACAGTGCATCTACTGGTCACTTGCTGTTCTTTATTCTCACCCAGTGTTTGGAGCTGGGTTTGTCATAGTAAGTACTCAGTAGGTGTTAGGTGTTGTGATGATAGTAATGGTATGACCATAATGAAAGCAAGGGCAGAAACCTAGTTAACATTATCAGGGTATTGAGTATTAAAGATTAGAGAAGATAAGGTAGTGATATTTGCCATTTTCTTTTTCGATTCTCTGATCTGGACTGATTGTTCAAATCTTGTATGCAGAAGAACAATATTCTGATACTCTGCTGATAGCTGGATAAAAACTTACGCTTAAATAGACTTGTTTTCATAAAAATGATGTATGATTTTTACTATGACCATGAATTTAAGAGATATGATTTGCCCTATATTATTACAGAATTTGTTATATAACAGAGTTCTTGCTTAGTTTTGTCTAGGGCTACTTTTAGATACCAGCTGAAGTTCTTTGTTTCTTTTTGAAAGTAAATCATTTATTATGATGTTCTTTCAATTCTCAGGCTAGATGAGCTACAGAAGAAACTACAAGAAGAAATAAGACAGGGCCGAGGTATTAAATCTCCTCTCAGAATTGGTGATCAGGACAGTACAGACGATGAGGATGGCCTCTTGGAAGAACACAGGTATAGCATTTTTCACACTATGTATAATCCCCTCTTATGTTTTAACATTTTTTACTTTTTAAAAAACAGTTGGGCCATTAATGGCTGTTTGCACAGTAGATAACAAGTGTTGGGTTTTGTTGAAAAGCAAACATTAGAACCAAGTCGAATATTAAGTCTTTTCTCCTGGTTATTCCTTTCCATACTGGCCTGTTAATGGTGGCTTTTCACTGTTAGCAGAAAGTAGGAGGGGCAGAACATTCTTTTTCTCATGTTAGTCTTCTAATCTGGGATTAACATTGATGTCTCAGAGTTTTTTCTAAAAGTATTTTTTGCACCCATCTTTTAAGTACAAAACCATTTGCATTATAATCTTTTGATAGTTCAACAGTCTTTGTTGTATTTCAGGGAATTTCTAAAGAAATTTTCAGTTACAATTGATGCTATTCCTGATCATCACCCAGGTGAAGAAATATTTAATTTTCTCAATTCTGGAAAAATTTTCAATCAGTATACCTTAGATTTAAGAGACTCTGGTTTTATTGGAGAAAGTGCTGTCGAAAAGCTTATTCTCAAGTAAGTAAAACATAAATATTTTGTTTTTCTGCATAAAAAATTACTCTAAAGTTCTGACTGGGGTCAGTAGGACCAAAGAACAAGAGAAGGCAGGGGAGGAGCGAATGTGAACAAAGTACTTCATATGCATGTGTGAAAATGTCAGAATGATGGCTTGGTAGAATGGGCAGTGACCCGAGTTTGATTCCCTGAAGCTATATAAAAATGCCAGGCATGGTGACATAACACTTGTAATCCCAATGCTAGTAAATCAGAAAAAAGAAGATCCCTGGGGCTCACTAGCCTGCCAGGCTAGCCTAATTTGTGAGCTTCAGGTCAATGAAGAAACGCTATCTGAAAGGAGGCAAACAGCTTTCCTGAGGACGACACCCATGATTATTCTTTGGCTTCCACATATTCAGACCCTAAAGGCCACACAAATGGCTCAGCAGGTAAAAGTGCTTGCTGTAGCAAGCCAGACAACCTAAGTTCACTCCCTGGAACTCACAAAGTAGAGCCAGATATGGTAGAACATGTGAAACTTACAGGCCAGCAAACCTAGGGTACCTAGCATTGAAACAAGAGACCTGGCCTCAGATGTTGTCCTCTGACCCACATGTATGCACTTGCATACACATAAATTAGATAAATAAATACTAAGACTGTAATAAACCTATCATTTTATAAAATGAATATTGTCCTAGTCTGTTTCTCCATTGCTGTGACAAAACACTCTGACCAATAACAACTTGGGGAGGAAAGAGTTTGTTTGGCTTACATCTCCCAGGTCACAGTTCGTCAGAGAGCCCTAGGTAGGAACTCAGGTCAGGAATCTGGAGGCAGGTGCTGGAGCACAGGCCATGGAGGATCACTGCTTACTGACTTGCTCCCTTCGCCCCTGCTCAGCCTGCTTTCTTATGCAACACAGGCCCACCTGCCCAGGGGTGGTACCCATCCACAGTGGGCTGGGCCCTCCCACATCACTCAGCAATCAAGGACATGCCCCATGGACATGGCCACAGGCCAGTCCAATGAAGGTAATTCCCCAATTGAGGCTCCTTCAACCCAAGTGTGTCAAGTTGACACTAAAGCTATCCAGCACAAATAATAATAAATTTTAAAAACAAAAGCATTGAAAAAGGATTTCTAATCAATATAATCTAAAATTTTAATTTCTGTTCTGACCTATATAATTTCCTCATCTTTTATTACTACTGTTCTTTGTGTTTTCGTAGTTATATGAAGCAGTTTAAGAGTCATTGAACACATCATGTGCATTTATTTTTTTGTTTTTTTATTGTTTACAATGCTAGAAGTAAAACCCAGGGCCTGGTACACCATATACCTTTACCAAGTGGGATTAGATCAATTTGTATGGCTGGGAATATATCACAGTTGCTAGAGTGCTTGCCTAGCATGCACAGGGCCCTAGATTTGATCCTTGGCATGTAAAGCAGAAATAGTAGTGCATGCCTGTAATCCCAGCACTTGTAAGGTAGAGGCAAAAGATCAGAAGGTCAAAGTCATCTGCAACTACATTGCAAATCTGAGGCTTGCCTGGGTGCCATGAAACCCTATCTCAAAGGGGGAGGGGGAATCTACATGTACAATCCAGGCATAATGCTACATGCCTGTAATCCTAGTACTTAACAGTGGCTGAGCCAGGAAGATTGTAAATTTGGAGTCACCTGGGCTACAAGGAGAGACACTGCCTCAAAAAAATTTACAAAATATTTCCCTAGCACTACATAAGAAAACAGTCAGCACTTAAACAGCAGTGTCAAAATAGCAGGGGCTTAATCAAGAAGTATATGTTTTACAGCCAGGCATGGTGGTGCACACCTTTAATCCCAGCATTTGGGAGGCAGAGGCAGGCAGATCTCTGTGAGTTCAATGCCAGTCTGGTCTACATAGCAAGTTCCAGGCCAGCTGGGGCTATAGGGTTTTGTGTTTAGATTCCCAGAAAGCACATACAACTTGTGCTTAATTTCTTCTTGTGACTAATTGGGTAGAATTCAATCAGCATGACCACATACAGCAACAAGTGATTTTTGCCGAGCTAAAAAAAAAAATCAGAATTTAGTTACCATGAAAAAGACAAAAGTAGATATTGAGGTGGCTGGTTCATGTGATGCCTGTTTCCAGTGCCTAGGCTAGGGTGATGCTCATCGGTGCATGGTGTTTCAGGTCTTTAATTTTGGTGCTGAGTTTTATGAATATCATCCCTAAACTGTCAGAAGCATATGTCCTGAGACTTGATAGACTCAACACTGCACAAATATACCTTTGTATGTGAAGCCTAGCCAATAGATTGAATCAGCTATAGGCCATCTGTTGAAATTTTTTATGTCTAACCCATTCCATGTTGGTGTTGAGTCCTCCATTGACTGAGAGTAGTTTATATGCTTCTTGCTCTGGTTGCTCTGGTTATATCGGATGTGGTTATGGTAGAAGTGTTTTTTTGCTCTGGAGGTAACAAGTCACTGGTTTTATTTTTTCAGATCAGGAAAAACAGATCAGATTTTTTTGACAACACAAGGCTTCCTTACCTCTGCATACCACTATGTCCAGTGTCCTGTACCTGTGTTAAAGTGGCTGTTTCGGGTAAGAGAAACATTTGCGAGTTATAATTGGTTACTGTATTTACTTTTCAGAAACAAACTTTTAGGGTCTAACAAGATGGCTCAGTCAGTGGTAAAGGCCCTTGCTGCCAAGCCCAATTACCTGAACTCAGTCCCCAGGACCCACATGGTGGAACGAGAGAACTACCTCCAGAAAGTTGTCCTCTGACCTCCATGCATGTCTCTCTCTCTCTCTCTCTCTCTCTCTCTCTCTCTCTCTCTCTCTCTCTGAATAAATAAATATTGTTTTTTTGGACTTTGGGAAAAAAATAATCTAGCATATCAAATCCGTGATTTCAGCACTTGGGAGGCAGAGGCAGGTAGAATTTTGAGTTTGAGGCTAACCTGACCTACATAGCAATTTCCAGGATAGAAATTCAGGATAGTCAACATTTTACATATTTAGACATTTTATCACACTGGTGACTATTATGAGCATTTTTACAAGAAATCTTCTAAATTGTTTTTTAAATGTGTATTTGCCTAAATGTAACTTATGTACGATGCCTGCAGCAGTCAGAAGAGGGTTTGGATTCCCTAAAACTGGATGGTTAGCTGTCATGTGAATCCTAGGAACAGAATCCAGGTCTTCATCAAGAGCATCCAGTGCTCTTAACTACTGAGCCGTGGCACCATCCCCAGAATTGTCTAAATCTTGCAAAGTATGTGCATGTGTCTGTGTGTGGGTTATGTAATGTGCCCAAGGGGGCCAAAGACATCCCCCTGGAACTGGAGTTAATATGTGGTTGTGAGCCACCTGATGTGGGGTGCTGTGAACTGAACTTGGGTTTTCTGAAAGAGCAGTACTCAACTACTGAGCCATCTCTGCAGTTCCCATATATATTTATGTAAACCCAACTTGAGTATTTCTCTTCCCTATTCATATTTAGCACTTAAATCCACTTACATATCTTCCTTTTTGTTTTAAGTATTATCACAGATTTTTATATAGTATCTTGGTGTTCTTTAGATACTTTGGACCTTATGGCAGAAAACATCATGGATATACAGGCTTATTGCTCTTGATATACCTTCAAGAAGACACTAATTTAGGACTAAGTAAGGTGTATGTTGGCAGAGGGGAGGCCATGGAGAGGGCTTTTAGTGGGACACTAAGTTCTCTGTTAACAAGTTGAAAAGTAATGCCCAGTTAAGTTAGAATTATCCTCCTCCCATAGACAGGATTCATGTCAAGTTTTTCTAGGGTATTAGAGTGTTCTACTTTAATAAAATCCCAAATGTATAGAAAATACACACTAAGAGTCGAGAATTTGTAAAATGATCTTTTATACTATACAAAACTTTGCCCTGTAGGCAGGGAGGTTGCTCAGTGAGTAAAGTGCTAACTTCTCAAGCATGAGACCAGGTTGGTCTTGAACTCACAGAGATCTGCCTGTCTCTATCTCCCAAGAGCTGAGATTAAAGGCCTGTGCCACCACACCTGGCTTGTTGTTTGTGTTTTTAGTAGGAGGTAGGTGGTGAGGTTTCTTTTAGGGTGAGAACTGACAAAAGGACCAGTATGGGTTCCCTCCCCTACCTACAAAATAAAGGGACATCAGCTCCAGATAAGGTCTTTCTTACAGCAGTTTTTAATGAGACTCTTGCTGTCAAAAAATGGATGGAATGAGCCTTGCTGTTGAGAGAACTTTTTAGACAATGGCAGGTAATGGAAAGAGCACAGGAATTTACCTGCAACGGTTAAACGAGCTTACTGCTTGGACCCTAGTAATTAGTTTTCAACAGTCCTAATTAAAATCAAATTTTCCCTCCCTGTGGTTTTAATATAATGGTACTAATTACCTTTTCTATCACTGCCTGCAGTGAGCCTCATCTGTCTTTCAAGTTATTTTCAGATGATCCTCATCCTTCCACTGTTAAGCATTCTTCAGTCCCATTACAGTCTTGATAGTCTTTCTGAACAACCTTTAGCTTACTGTGTTTTACCTCCCCTCATAAGTACACATATGTTCCAGATAAATTCTGTCTGCTCAGCAGTTTTCAGCCATACTTTTACCCATTAATCTTACCTACATACTCATATTCATTATAATTCAAAATTTAGTTTGCAATTATGCAAATCCTAATTATACATGTCTTAAATTTGCAGGTAAGACTGCATTTTCTTTTTTTGGGCGGGGGGGGGGTCTTTCTCCCTGTAGCCCTGGCTGACCTGGAACTCACTCACTATGTAGACCAGGTGGCCTTGAACTCACAGAGATCCACCTGCCTCTGCCTCCTGAGTGCTGGACTGAATTTTTCCAAATTATTTTTTATCTTGTTGATGTGGGCCTATCATAAATACAAGCATATCTTCATCTAAGCAGGTTTTTCTTAAAGATTTGTTTTTATTTATGTATTTGTATCTGAGTATGTACCATGTGTATGCAGGTGCCGTCTAGCCAGAAGAGGACATTGGATCCCCTGGAGCTGGAATTACAGATGGCTATGAGCCACCCAGCATGGGTCCTAGAAACTGAAGCCAGGTCCTCTCCTTGAGCAGCAAGCACTCCTAACCACTGAGACATCCCTCCAAGCCCCATCTAAGCAGATTTTTATGCTCTTCAAATTCATTCATAGAAAGCCATGCTAATACTTATTTGTTTGTATAAGACACATTGTCTTATATCTACTTTGTGATTCCATTACTATTATAGTTAGAGGGGCTTTACCAATCTCTTTTTCTTTCTTTTTTTTTTTTTTTTGCAGAGTAATCTATATTGATTTTAGTGTTATAGTCCTAACTTTATTGGATTTTTGGAGACAAGACCACTGTGTAACCCAGGCTGGCCTAGAACTCAAAGTTCATCCTGCCTCACCCTATGAAACCACCATACTTTACCTAACTACTATTTTTTTGTAATTTGATAAATATAATAAAAATGAACTGGACATGGTGATGTACACCTCTAAACCCATCACTCAAGAAACAGAAGCAAGAAGATCTAAACTTCAAGGCTACTCTATGCTACTTAAAGAATTTTAAACCAGTCTGAGCTACATTGTGAGATTCTGTCTTAAAAAAGAAAATTAAAAATATTTGACTAATTTTTACCATGCATGCCCAAATTTAGACCAGAAAGAGTTTACTACTTTTTTTTTTTTTTTTTTACCATTTTCAGAGGGAAGTTATGCTTTATTATGTAAAATTCAAAATTTAAAAAGCAGGCTAGGGCTGAAGAGATGGTTAAGTGATTAAGAGCAAGTGTACTGATCTTTCAGAGAACCAGAGTTCAGTTTCCAGCACCCATTTCAGGTGTCTTACAACCACCTGTAACTCCAGTTCTAGGATAATTTATAGCCCACCCTCCAAGGGGAACCACACTCACATGCATATACAGTCACACACATATGCATCATTTAAAATAATAAATTTTTTTTTTTTAAGCAGGGGGGCTGGAGGGATGGCTCAACAGTTAGGAATACTGGTTACTCTAGCAGAGGACCCAGGTAGTTCCCAGCACCCACATGGTGACTAACAACCATTCATACTCCAGTTCCAAGGGATCTGACACCCTCTTCTGGCTTCCATGGATACTGCACACATGTGATGTACTTACATGCATGTGAAACACACACATAAAAATAGTTTGTTTTTTTTTTAAAGCGGGCTAAATTCATGTCAAGTCAATTTCCAGCTGTTTGTTTGTAATATAGTCAATATTTTCTAGGTTTTTGTCTGCATACAGAAATTAACTATGGTGAGGCTAGGGATATGACTCAGTTGGTAAAGTGCTTTCCTGGCTTGCATGAAGCCATGTTTTGATCCCCAGCACTGCATACATCAAACATAGTGGCATATGCCTATAATTCAAGCACATAGGAAGTAGAGGCAAGAGGATCAGGATTTCAAGGTTGTCCTTAGGTCCATAGAGAGCTTGAGGCCAGCCTGTACTATATGAGACCCTGTCTCAAAAAAATTACTATGGACCAGGTTTGGTTATATAGCAAATTTAAGGCCAACCTGTACTGCATAAGACCCTATCTCAAGCCCCAATTTAAAATGTTTATATTATTTGTCTATCTGTAACTTTACAGTTACAGTTTGATTTGGTTTTCGTCTAAGTACACAAACGTGTGTGCTTGAATATGAAGGCCTTCCTTGAGTGTTGTTTCTTAGGAGCCATCTACCTTGTTCTTTAAGATGAGATCTCTCATTGGTATGAAGCTTTCTAAGTAGGCTAGACTTGCTGACCAGCAAGCCCCAGGGAATTGCCTGTCTCTACTTCACTAGAGCCAGAACTGCAAGCATGTCATAACATCGTAACTGATTTCTTTTAATATAGGTTCTAGAGATTGAACTCGGGTCCTCATCTTGTAAAGAACAAGTGCTTTACCTGTGATTTTATTTTTGCCTATAATGTAATCATCCTGGGAACTGTCTTTTCCTTTGTGTATATTTGGGTTTTTTTGGAGGCTTAGGTGGGGTTACAAGGGATGTATGTCATGTGTAGATGGAAGGTTGACATTGGATGCCTTCCTCAGTTGCTCTCCACCTTTTTTTTTAAATGTGTATGCATGTTTTATCTGTATGTGTGCCAGTGCATCCCATGTGTGCAGTGCTGATGGGAGCCAAAAGAAAGCAACAGACTCCCCCACCCCTTAAACTGGAATTACAGATGATTCTTAGCCACCATGTGGGTGATGGGAACTGAACCTGGGTGCTGTACAAGGGCTCTTAACCCCTGAGCTGTATCTCTAGCCCTTCCACCTTATTTTTTTTGAGGCAGGGTCTCTCACTGAACCTGGAGCTCACTCATTGGGCTAGACTGGCTGGCCAGTAAGCTCCAGGGATGCAAACCACTATATCTGACTTTTTTTGGGGTGCTGGGGATCCAACTCAGGTACTCACTCTTGTGCACCAAACATTCTACCATCTGAGTCAAACACTCTACCAACTGAGTCATCTTGCCAGCTTTACCTTTATGCTTTTTAGTTCCATATCATGATATATCCCAGAAAAGTAGTTTTTTTATAGTTTGAAGTATTAATATTTGATTACAAATAGAAGTTGAGGATGGGGGCACAAAAACAAATAAATAGCCAAGAAGCTTGGTAGAATGGAAAGAGCCCTGTCTTCAAAGTCAGGCCTATGCCTATATTTCAGATCTATCTCTTCTGTGTGTCTGTAATGTGTCACATAGGGCAAGGTATTTAATCTCTTTTGAGCCTGTTTGCTTGTAAGTATACTGAAGACCCTTCATGATGCTACTGTGTGAAGTTAAATGTACATGAAGCATTGTTGGAACTGCATCTGCCAAGCTGGCTTCAAACTTAGTCTTCCTGCCTCCACCTCCCAAGTAGCATGGATTGGAAACCTGCTTTACTTCATCAGGCTTGAATAACTTTATACAGGGGCTAGAGAGGTGACTCCGCAGGTAAAAGCACTGACTGCTCTTGCAAAGGACCTGGGTCTAGCCACATGGTGGCTAACAACCATCTGTATCTCCAGTTCCATGGGATCCAACTTTCCCTCTTCTGACTTCTGCAGGCATTGTGCACACATGTGCTTACATGCATGCAGACAATGCATTCATATACATAAAAATATTTTGTTAAAAATAACTTAACATGGACTTAGCACATACTAAATGTGTTTTTTCTTTCTAATACTTGTCATTTCTTTACTTTGGACAGATGATGTCAGTTCATACAAATTGTATTGTGTCGGTGCAGATTTTAAGTACATTGATGGAAATAACCATTAGAAATGGTGAGTACATGAATGACTATGATTTGTAGTATTATGCTTATTACATGATCTCTTTCATATTACTAAATATTAGACTTTGTATTTTTGTTTTTATTTGTTCGGTGGTACTATCTATGCTAGACAGCCACTCTGCTACACCTATATCCCTAAGTCCAAAAAATTTTTTGTGATCCTACATCTTTAATAATAAAATGAAACATCAATCAAAATTAAGTGTCTGTTTTTCTACTTGTATTAGAAAAAACGTTTCAGAGCCAGGCATGGTGGGGCACACCTTTAATCCCAGCACTGTGAATTCAAGGCCAGCCTGGTCTACACAGGGCTACAGGGAGACCCTGTCTCAAAAAAAAAAAAGAAAAAAGATTTCAGATCTTACAGGTAATAACCCTTACCTAATATTTAACAAGTCATGGGATGTTTTATAAAGTAAGTGGAAATAGAATTTTGTTTAATTAGCCCACTTTATTTTACTTATTTTTGACACATGGTCTCAAGTAGCACAGGCTATCCTCAAACTAAGTATATAACCCAGGCTGGCCTTGAATTCCTCATCCTCCTACCTCAGCCTCCTGAGTACCAGGATTACAGGCATGTACCACCAGACCCAACTTGTGAATGAACAATAGTATTTGTATTAAGGTGGATTGAAACTATCTATTGTAAAAGTGTGACTGTTGCTTTCTCACCTTTGAGAGCCTTTGTCATAAAAGCAGCATTGTGATTTACCCAATCATTTGGCTGACTGAGGGATTAAGACTACAAGGGCACTAAAGATGATAAAGCCTTCCAGTTTTACTTCCTTTTGAGTTAACATTCTTTCAAGGATCTCAGATACTTTCTTTATATCAATTAGTTCATATTTAATTTGAAAATTTGCAGTACATATGATCGTTCTATTATATAGTTAACTTACCATTAGCTGTTATCATTTCTGTGACATTATTGCTCTAAAAGCCAGACATAGTGGAATGTGCCTGTCTGTAATCCCAGTGCTTGAGAGTCTGAAACAAGATCTAGAGTTTGAGGACAGCCTAGGCTACATAGTGAAAACTGTCTCCAAAAATATTATTGTAATAATCTGTTTTACAGACAGGCTATCACTTTACAAATGTGGGTTATTGTACTGGTGGTTTGAAATAAAATAATTTCTTTTGTTAACCAGATACTTTCAGTGACTCACCAATTTGGCCCTGGATCCCATCATTGTCTGATATAGCAGCTGTGTTTTTCAACATGGGGATTGGTTTTAGATCTTTGTTTCCTCTGGAGACTCTTCAGCCAGACTTCAATGAAGATAATCTAATGTAAGTTTTCTTTTCATAGTAAATACCAAGCAGATCATTTTAAATGATTTCCATTTATTGTCATTACAACTGATTTAATAAGTTCGGCATTCACTCTTGACTTTGAAAAACCCAAAGTTGAAATCAATCTTAAAATACATACATTCGCCTTAATCTAAAAGCCATCATCATAGTGAGCAGGGAAATAATGAGAAACATTCCTCAGTATTATTTAGCATTGTTTGCTGAGCTGGCAAGAGGGCTCATTGAGAAAAAGTGCTTTCCAGGCAAGCTTGATGACTTTAGTTCTATCTCTGGAACACAAAGTAGAAGGTGATAACTGACTCCTGAAAGTTGTCCTCTGACCTCCATACAGGCACATGGCATCCCAGCACTTAGAAGGCAGATGTAGGTGGGTCTCTGAGTACGAGGCCAGCCTCATCTATGTAGCAAGTTCCAGGTCAGCTGGGGCTACAGGGAGACCCTGTCTCAAAAACAAAACAAAACAAAAAAATTACTAAAAGCCAAAAGATTATAATAAATGGAAAACCTACTGTGTTTTCAGACATGGAAATTTAACATCATAAGTATTCAGATCCTAGTATCAAATGCCAGCAGGATTCTGGGGGTGAGGGGGTGGTAAGAAGTTGGGACCATACAAATGATTCTAAATTCATAGGAAAAATAAATAATATCTAGAAAAATTATGAGACAAAACTGGCCTCAGTAGATTTAAAAAAAAAAAAAAAAGGATGGTGTAAGTGAGAAAAACAAGTTTGACCAGTGGTAGAAGCTGAAGAGTCCCAAATATAGATCTGTACTTACTGTGCTAAAGGTGAAAAGTAGGAATGGGAACTATTCAGTGTCCGGTATTCTCCAGTGTCTGCAAAAATCTGTAGCCATTTGGGGGGGCGGGGGCACTCACACCTTAAATTTACAAAGCAAAGATTTCAGTTCATACAATGAAAATATAGAACAAGCTGGATATGGTGGTGTAAAACTTTAATCCCAGCACTCAAGTGGAGGCAAGCATATCTCTTTGAGATCGAGGTTAGCCAGGGCTACGTAGTAAAACTCTGTCTCAAAAAAAAAAAAGAAAGAAAAAAAAATCAGAAGAGGAGAAAATTGTTTTTATATATATTAATATCCTCCCATAAAAAGAAATACTAATTTGATCATATTTTTGAAATCTTCATGGCCATAGTCATTGTAAGTAAAGTCAAAGAAAAACTTCAAAATGGGGCGAAGAAGAAACTGTGTACGTAAGTGAGAGCAAGAGCACACGCCCCATCATAGACGAGGGCTTGATTTCTGCTCAGTAAGATAAACATAAAAACTTACAGGATAGAAAAAAGAAATGAGAAAAAATTGATCACAGAAAAAGAATGAAAAGCAATTCTTGAATAGTACAAGAACATACTCAACTCAGCTTTTAAGGAAAGTGCGATCATAACTTGGTTTCCAAAACCAAATTCTTCATTTCTGAAGTTCTTTTTGCACCCTAGATTGGATCCCTTGTTACTTAGATGGCTGTTTATGTCTGAAAATATGTTGGATAGCAAATTTTTAGGCATTATGGTCTAATAATTTAAATAGAAATAATGTCTTCCTAATCCTTCCAAAAACTTCTAACAATTTCCCTGATAATAGAATATTTTTACTGTGTGTGTGTGTGTAGCCCTGGCTGACCTGGAACTCTGTGTAGACCAGGCTGACATGGAACTCACAGAGATCTGCCTTCCTCTACCTCCTGAGTGCTAGGATTAAAGGCATGCACCACCACATCTGGCCCAATTATATTACTTTTGGGGTGGGTTAGGGATGTTCTGGGGGAGGGGGTTTGTTTGTTTTTTGTGTTTGTTTTTGAGACAGGGTCTCCCTGTAGCACCAGCTGGGTTGGAACTTGATATGTAAGCCAGGCTGGCTTAGATCTCACAGAGATCTTCCTGCCTCTGCCTCTCAAGTGCTGAGATTAAAGGCTTGCACCACCATGCCCGGCTCCAAGTACATTACTTGTAATGAAGTCACTAGCATATGGTAGTCTTATGTTATGTTTTATGCGATGGATTTGAGTTTTTATTCCTTATAGTAAGCATACACAGCTGTAGAATAACAAAGTAAAGAGATATAATTGCATTAATACAAAAATGCAGATAGTGTTTAGCAAAATAATTTTGCGGCTTACCATTGCCCTATCAGGTTTAGTAATTTAGACAGTAGGGCATAATTGTTAGTGAGGGTATGAACAGGTAAGCAAGCATGAAGTGGTCAAGAAATGAGTGCAGTGTAATGAAATGCCTGAGTTTTAAACAAACAGCATGGCTGTGGGTCTGGATCCGGTTGAACTATGATCCCAGCTCACTCTTTTTCTTTTTTTTTCTTTTTTTTTGTCTTTTTGAGACAATGTCTCCCTGTAGCCCCAGCTGGCTTAGATCGCTAGCTATGTAGACCAGGCTAGCCTTGAACTCATAAAGATCTGCCTGCCTCTGCCTTCTGAGTGCTGGAATTAAAGACATGTGCCACCACACCCAGCCTCCTAACATCATCTTAATTCAGATCCTCTTTAGATGCCTAGCCTTCCAAATTATTTTTTTCTAGCATCTTTCTACTCTAAGATACTCATCATTGTTGGGAGATCTCTCTGCTCTTTGCATCATGTATTTAAGAATTTATAGTTCTACTAATCTATTTTTCCCTATTCTTTTTCTTCTCTCAGCAAGATTCTCTATTTCTTTAGTCAAAGCTCAGACTGAGGTCCTCTAGCCTAAAACTCCTAAAAATCTATGTTGTACTGGGCCTCTGACCTGTTTTCTATTTTGTTCTTTAGCCTTTTGTTCTTACCAAATTGATCTATTATTTCTTCATATCACTATATCACAGTTGGGAGACCTTATACAGTGCTTGCTGTGTGCCAGAAACTGTTCTGAGAGTTTGGCATAGTGCCTCAATAATAGTAAATGCAAATAGTAGTAGTAATTTATTCCCATTTTACAAGTGAGTCAGGCACAGAAAGATTGAGTAATTTGCCCAAGGTTATACAGCTAGAGGGACAAAGCACTATTAAGCTGCTATTTGTAAAAACAAAGTTTTGCTGAATGTGGTGGTTCATACCTGTGATCCCAGCATTTGAGAGGCTAATGCAGATGGATTGCTGTGAGGTCAAGGTTAGCTTAGGATAAATTGTGATTTGCAGGCCAGCCATGGCTACAGAATGACCCTGGTTTTGGGTTTTATTTTTGTTTGGTTGGTTTTTTAATTAATTAATTAATTTTTTAATATCTTATTTATTATTTTTATTTTATGTGTATGAGTGTATTGGCTGCATTTATGTGAGTGCACCCGTGTCGTGCAATGCCTGAGGAGGTCAGAAGAGGCTATCAGATCCCCTCAGACTGGAGTTAGGGACAGTTGTTAGCTGCCATGTGGGTGCTAGGATTCGAACCTGGGTCTTCTGCAAGAACAACCAGTGTTCTTAAATGCTGAGCCATCTCTCCAGCCCCTGGGTTTTGTTTTTAATTAAAGGGCAGGGGGAGTGCCTCTAATCCAAGTATGTGAGAGGATGAAGCAGAAGGATCACCACAAGTTAGAGGCTAGTCTGGGCTACACAGTGATTCCAGGCTAGCCTGAACTGCAGAGTAAGACTGTCTTATAAATAAACTTCCAGAGCTCCAAGAACATTGCAGAGGAGGGGATGGAAAGAATCTGAGAACCAGAGGTTGGGAAGGAGTTCTATGAAATGCTGCCTTCTGGGTATGTCATGGTTGTTGAACCTATGAATTCACAGCAGTGGTTGTTACCTGCACAAGACCAGGCCCATTAACATTCCATCATGAATGGGGGAGGGGCTTATGAGGAAACCTCCCCCCTTGCCATATGCAACCAGTGACTGCTAACAGAGGGGAGTCATAGTCCCCACTGGTGTAGCCACTGGAAACTTAATCCTTCCCCAAGTAAATAAACCCCTGCTCATGCTCATGCTAGTAGCCATAATTAAATGTAGTGGGGCACAAAAGAAAAACTTCACACATAGTTGTGGAAGTATCTCCAAGGTATATTGCTAAGAGAATAAAGGAAGGTACACAATAATACTATTTGTATTAAGATGGCTACAGAGGGGAAATTGGTAAAAGATTAAAAACAAACTTTATTCTGACACCAGATATATGGGTTTTCCAAGAACTGTAATTCTCCAAATCTCTGTGAACCACAACTATATGTTCTATGGTTTGATTCAATTCTGACACTACCAGAGTTAGTGTAGATGCGAAGGTAAGGGCTTAGTTCCACAAGACTGCCCATACCACATATAAACCAGTCACAACTCTGGACCTTCCATACCTGTGACCAACCAACTATAAATTGAAAAATCCTGCAATCAATCCCCTCTTCAGGTTCAGTAGTTGCAGTGGTCTGAATAGAATGTCTCCCATAGGCACCAGGTATTTGGACATTTTTGTTCCCAGTTGGTGGCACTGTTTTGGGAGGTCTTAAAGGTGTGGCTATGCTAGAGGAAGCATGTAACTGGGGGCAGCGGGCCTAGAGAGTTCTTAAGCCTTGCCAGATCTCCAGTCATGCTCTTACTTCCTGTGCCTGCTTGAAGATGTGAGAGCTTAGCTTCCGCTCCTCCTCCAGCCACCTCTGCCGCACATGCCTCCCCACCAGGATGGACTCTTGCCCCTTGGAACCGTAAGCTCAAATAAATTCTTCCTTTTATAAGTTGCTTTGGTCAGTGTTTCTATCACAGCAACAGAAAAGTAACTAATACAGTAGTCTTTGAGAATAGCACACAAAACAGAAAAAGTTTTCTTTCTTTTTTTTTTTTTTAAACCAGTTTATATAGAGGGTACATTCAAGAACAGCCAAACAGAAAAGATGTCTAGGGCAAAGTATGAAGTTGGGTGTACCACGGAGTTACCATGCCCTCTCCTGTGTGCATCATTCTCTCTTCAGAAGGTCTCATAACTTGGGGGAGGGAAGAGGAGAAGAGGGAGTGTGTGCGTATACCTGTGTAGACCAGAGGTCAACTTCAGGTGTATTCTTTAATTCTTCACTTTATTTATTAAGACAGGGTCTCTCACTAATTCTGGAGCTTGCTAGTTTGGCTAAACTGGCTCCTCCTGTTGCCATCGAACCCAGCATTTTCTTATGTGGGTAGTGGGAATTGAACTCAGGTCCTCATGTTTGCATAGCAACCACTTTACCAACTAAGCCAACTCCCAACACACCCTTGGAGCTCTTAAACTTATAGAGATTTTATTACACAAGGATGATATATTAAAACATGGCTATTTGATGATTAATTTGATCTCTAGACCCTCTGGGTAGAACAAGTTCCAACTCTAATCATAGGTTAATTACTGTGTCAAGTCACCTCCTTTGCATGAACTCAGGTAAAGTTGAAGGGAGCTTACTAAAAATAACGGAAGAGGCTGCACCTGCCCTGCCATTCAAAAGTTCCAAAAGTTCTAGGGTTCTGTGTCTGGGAACAAAGACCAAATGTATGCCTCCTACCACAAAAGGTTGTATGTTCAGGTTTGTTTATGCATAAAATGCTTGTAGAATGAAGAACTACAACTAGTAGCACCTGTGGGCCGAGAAATTCGGTGGCTGAAAGGAGCCAGGGTGAGAAGACAATTCTTTTGATAGGTTTTGATTTTTTTTCAGATCCAAATGAAATTTTTTTTAAGTTGAAAAAACTATGTCTTTTAAAAGCCAAGTTCAGAAATTGGAGAGATGATTCAGTGGTTAAGAGCACCTACTGTTCTTGCAGAGTACCCGAATTCAGTCCCCAGTAGCCATGTCAAGTGACTCATAAACACCTTTAATTCCAGCTCCAAGAGATCCAGTGCCCTCTTCTGGATTCTGCAGACACTGCACTCACATGCACAAACCCACACATAAACACATACACACATAATTAAAAATAAAACCTTTAGGGGCTGGAGAGGTGGCTCAGCAGTTAAAAACACTGGTTGTTCTTGCAGAAGACCCGGGTTTGAATCCCAGCACCCACATGACAGCTAACAACTGTTCGTAACTCCAGTCCCAGGGGATCGACAGCATCTTCTGACCTACGCAGACATTGCACAACACAGGTGTACTTACCTACATGCAGGCAATACACGCATACACATAAAATAAAAACAATTTTAAAATTTAAAAAATAAATAAAAATTCTTTAAAAAATAAAAGTAAATAAATAAAAGCCAAGTTAATGCACCTCCTCTTCCATGAACCTTTACTAATAATACCAACCAGAATTCAAATGCTTAGAATTGGTATGTGTGGGTTGTATTATGTATATGGTACATGCACAAGTGTACAGGTGCCCACTCCCCTGTGTGCCTGAGTGCAGTGCCTAAAGAGACCAGAGGTGTTAGATCCCCTGGGGCTGGAGTTACAGGCTGTTATGAGCCACCCATTCATTGTAGGTGCTGAGAATCAAATTCGGGTCCTCTGCAAGAGCAGTACACACTCTTAACCACTGAGCCATCTCTCTTCTTTATTGTTAGGACCACCTCCTACAATAGCTTTCTGACACCAAGAACATAGAGGAAAGTAACAGGTTCAAAGGACCACTAGTACATCAAGATCAAAATCATATTAATAAACAAGGCATGGTGGTGGCTGTAATCCCAGCACTCTGGAGACTGAGTATCACAAGGAGATCAAGGCCTGCCTGGGCTACGCAGTAAGATCTTGCTAGAGAGTAGTGTTTACCTGCAGTTGGGAATAACAAATTAACTTGGATCTGGCATGAAAGGACTTCAAGCAATATGTTCCATTTCTTGTTTTCAATAATAGAAACAGTAGAATACATTCCTTTTATTGTTTGTAAATTATTACTTAATAAAACATCATTTTGAGGCTGGAGAGATGGCTCAGCAGTTAATCTTGTTGCTCTTGACGAGGATGGGATTAAGTTTCTAACACCTACATGGTGGCTCACAACTGCCTGTAACTCTTTACTCCAGGGGACCAAATGTCCTTTTCTGGCCTCCATGGGCATCCACACACGTGTACAGACAAACACACATATAAATAAAAATAAATCTTTTTTTAAAAAAAATATAAGAACAGATACTGCACCCACGTGGCAGCTAACAGCTGTCCGTAACTCCAGTCCCAGGGGATCCGACAGCCTCTTCTGACCTCCGCAGGCATTGCACGACATGGGTGCACTTACCTACATGCAGGCAATACACGCATACACATAAAATAATAA